TTCTTAAAAGCACACCCTGTTCCGTCCACCGTAACAAGTGATAACAAAAATCAATCAAACAAACAAACGAACAAGAAAATGAAAGTAGATTTCCTGCAGCTTCCAGTGTCTTCCTCTCCTCCTCCTCCTCCTCCTCCTCCTCCTCCTCCTCCTGTGTTTACTATATTGATGGGTGTGGCCTCATGTAAGCCGCAACGAGTCCCCTTGGGGAGATGGTGGCGGGTATAAATAAAGTTTTATTATCATCATCATCGCATTTCTTACCCCCCTCTCCTCATGGCTTGAGGCGGGTTACAGAACAATTGAAACACAAACACTGTGTTGTTGAAAGCTTTCGTGGCTGGAATCACTGGGTTGCTGTGGTTTTTCAGACTGTATGGCCATGTTCCAGTAGCAATCACCAGGGTGCTACTGGAATATGGCACTATAGCCCGAAAAACTCACAGCAACCCACATAAACACCACATATTAAAATGTTCCTCTATAAAAACTACACACCAAAATATATCTCTATAAAGTACATATTAAAATGCACAAAACAGAGATTAAACATAGGGCATGCATTTAAAATTCATGCTTAAGGGAGTAGTCATAAGGAAGTAGTCAAGCCTTTGATGGGCAATGGGAAGAAGTTAGCAAACTGGTCCTGCAAAGCCCACCCTTGCCCTCAGCTGGGGTGTTCCAGGAATTGCCCTTTTGCAAAATACTGGATCACAGAAGTGTTTAGCTGTCCATTGCCCTTTGAAAGGCATGATTGCCCACTGCTGTCCACCTGAAGATGCAGTGGGAGATCATTTTCCTAGATAGAGCAATGGGATTGATGATAGATGTTGTGCAAAACTGTTTGCGGTCTTGTACCGAAATAGGCATTATGTCATTTTGTGCTTTGCAGAATTGTGTTCTAATCGTTATCGTGCCACTGCTGCCGGTTGTTCTTTTAGGCCAGCCGCATGGGTGAACATTGGGAGGAGCTGCTGCCCTGCTGGCTTTTTTGGCAGCCCCTGCCAAGGCTGTCTCTGTGGCTTCGCTGGTCAAGTGGACCTGCTGGCCACATGTTGGGAAGACCCAGGCTGAGGGGAAGAAATCGACGGCCTGAGCATGTGTCCTTCTACAGGCAAAGCGCTGGGGCAGAATGTGCACTGCTGCTGTTGCTGCTGCCGGGAGCCCCTAGCTCCCATTCCTTCCCCATGGATGGCCAGGCACTGGGCAGGGTGCGCATGGCGGGCGGGCGGGCAGCAGTGTCCTTGTAACTAGGGCATCAGCATCCCAGGGCTGGAAAATAATTGGGCAGCTGGAGCTGAGAAGGGAGGGAGAGGAGTCCCTTTCTGAGGAGTGAGAAAAAGACAGGGATGAAGCGAACAGAGGGGCGCGTGGCCATCATCAGTGCCAAAGAAGACACTGGGGAAATGCTTTCTCACCTTGCCTTGTTTTTTCATCTCAAAACTGTTTTAGTTTATTTTTATAATCATATATTTCAGAAGTCACATTTTAATCAAGATCAAATGCAAATAACTCTGCTGCTGAGTATGTATACCCAGTGTGGAATACATCTCACCATGTTAAAACAGTGGATGTTGCTCTTAATGAGGCATGCCGCATTATCACAGGATGCCTACACCCAACACTGCTGAGAAATTATACTATTTAGCCGGCATTGCACCACTTGATATCCACTGGGAAGTAGCAGCCAGTAGTGAAAAGACCAAGCCATTGGCTCAAACTCTGTTCAGATATCAGCCAGCACCCCAACACCTTAAATCAAGAAATAGTTTTCTAAGATCTACAGAGATACTCGTAGGAACACCATGGCAAGCAAGAGTCCAAAAGTGGCAGGCTAAAATCCGGAACATCAATCAGTGGCTGAGATCATATTAAAAACTCCCTCCTGGGCACACAGAAGGCTGGGAAACTTGGAAGGCGCTGAACAGACTGTGCTCTGACACCACGAGATGCAGAGCCAGCCTTAAGAAACTGGACCACTAAGTAGAGTCCACGACATGCAAGTGCGGAGAATTGCAAACTTACTGCAATGCAGTCTGAGCCCTGCCACATGCACAATAGTAGACCTTCTTACAACGACACTAGAGGTACTCCAAGTGGCCCGCTTCTGGTCAAAGTAAATTTAGTATCATGCCAAGTTTTTAACTTTATTTGTGGCTTTTATACATTATAGGGGAGCCCCCAGTGGCACAGTGGGTTAAAGCGCTGAGCTGCTGAGCTTGTTGACCGAAAGGTTGCAGGTTCTATTCCGGGGAGTGGTGTGAGCTTCCGCTGTCAGCCCTAGCTTCTGCCAGCCTAGCAGTTTGAAAACATGCAAATGTGAGTAGATCAATAGGTACCGCTCCGGCGGGAAGGTAACGGCGCTCCATGCAGTCATGCCGGCCACATGACCTTGGAGATGCCTACGGACAACGCCGGCTCTTCAACTTAGAAATGGAGATGAGCACCACACCCCAGAGTCAGACATGATTGGACTTAATGTCAGGGGACAACCTTTACCTATACATTATAACTGTATTCTTAATTCGCTTCTGACACAGTAAATGAATTGGCATGAATGCTTACCTTCCCTCCACTCTCCCAAAATCTGGACAATATATGTATATGTAACACATTTTTCCCAGTAGTATTTTGTATCTCGGCACCGGCAATATCCCAGTCTAATCCAGTGGCAAATCGTGGTTTCCATGTTGGTGCAATAGGGTTTCTATTCTGATCTTTCTTCTGAAAAGGAGCTGTCCAGCATGCTGAAACCTTTCATCTCAAATAGCTCCGGTCACTCGTATAGCTCGTTTACAGTTCAAACTAAAATCAGAGGCAGATTTGCCACCCCACTGGCACGGAAGCCGCAACTGATAAATTCTCTTCCTCTTTCTGTAGAGCCATTTGATCACTTACTTGCAGGTTCCTTTCCCTTTATGCCAGTTCCTTTCCCTTCCTTAACAACTGGACTTAAGACTTTTCTTCCATATTTCGTTGCCTTCTTCCTCCTGTTGATGCTAGCCACACACAAAAAAAGTATCGGCAGATGGAGATGGTGTGGGTAATGGACCCTGGTCCTTCCGTAAGAGATTATATGTTTTCTAATGGTTAGCGTTGAAAAGGAACAGTTGCTGTTGTTGTTTTAAGTTGCTGAGTGTGTCACAATATTTAACATCAACTGGCTCGGGAAATGCGCCTTGCGAGAAGGGACATCGCAATCTGGTTCTCAGGCAAACTAAATTACAAGAACAATTGGGATGCTCTGTTTCTGCAGTTTTGTTGTCACTATCAAAAGTTATCGCAGCGAAGAATTGCAAGGTACAATAAGAAAAGGAAAAACTAGGTTTTTGTGTGTGTGTGTATGTTCCGTCAATCTCCTGTTGTCCGATGGTGACACCATGAACTTCATAAGGTTTTTTTAAAAAAGAAAACCTATTCACTGGTGGTTTTGCCTGTTGTTTCCTCAGAAAAATAGTCTATGGCACCTGGCATTCATTGGCAGCCACCCATCCAAGTAGTAATCACAACGGAGCCTGCTTAGCATTGCAGCTCAGACAGGATCTGGTGCCTTTTAGAGAATTAAGAGCCTCCAAATCTAATAAATCAGGCAGGTCCAGGGAAGGACAGTGGGGACGAGAATACAGTGTTCCCTCACTTATCGTGGGGGTTTTGTTCCAGGACCACCCACGATAAGTGAAAATCCACAAAGTAGGGACGCCATATTAATTATAATATTTATACATTATTTTATATATTTTATATATTATTTTCTTATCCGCACTTCCTTACCCGCCTCCTGGCTCATCCCAAGAGTGCCTGCCTGCCTTCCTGGCCTCTGCAGAGCCTCTGGAGCCACGCAGGCAGCAGCAGGCCAGAGAGGCAGGCATTCCCCGCCATGCTTCAGGCCGCCACACTTCCAGGGTCCCTGACGTCCACTGGACGTAAATATTTAGTATTTTATATTTTTTATTAATATTTTCAAAAACCCGTGAAACAGCGAGTCCGCTAAAAGCGAACCACGAAGTAGTGAGGGAACATTGTATATCACTTCTTTGCTTCAGTTGAGGCACAGCATCTGATTAATGGCTGACACCATTCCTAAATAAAGCTCTAGTACTAGGACTTCCAGGGAAGCATTGAAAGCTTGCATAATGTATGCACTCTGGTTGCCCAGTAATAAAGGTACCACTTTTTTGTAGATTTTGTTGTATTTCGCTTTGACAGTCGGCGTATTGTAACGGTTTTAGTTTGGAATTAGGACACTGGGAAACCTGGGTTTGACTCTCCGCTCAGACATAAGAGCCCACCAGATGAACTTGGACAAGTCACACTTTCTCAACTTCAGGTGAAGGCAAAGGCAAACCTTCTCTGAATAAATCTTGCTGGGAAAAATCAGGGATGGGTTCTGCTTAGTGTTGCCATAAGTCAGACATTACTTCAAGGCACACAGAAATAACTTATGGTAGTTGTTCATTGTTCCTGCAATTCCCAATAATATATTAATTGCTCTCCTTTTGTTTGTAAAAACTCAAAACCTTTCCCTATTTCTTGTTTTTTGTTTTTTTAATCACAGCTCATAGCTTTATTAACCACAGTATGACCACTATATTTATGAGACTGGTACCCAAGGTTTTGTTTATCGATACAAGACAAAATATGCCCTCTCCATGCATCTTCTAGGACATCAGCTTTGCATATCTACACTCAGTCTGAGAATATACTTCCTGCAGATTGGAAGTCGTACCATGCCATTATTTCTCTGAGAATTAACTTGAGGTATTCCACTTCAAGGGAATACCTCAAGGGAAGGAAAGTCAAGGGAAGGAAAGATGTCATGAAAATGTGACTAATAACCCAAGAGAGAGATAGCAGGATTATTTAAAGGGAGAGCACATCCTTTTTATTAGGGTTTTTTGTGGTCAACTTCCACTATGGCTTCTTTTAAGTGATAGTGCCACAGATGAAGCTCGGAATTCCAGTGCCATGCACTCACAGTCTTCTCCTCTTGTCTCTTGCAGCCACACTCATTCTGGTTCTATGGCCGCTGTGCGGGAATGGTCCTGTACCCGCTGCACGTTCCTGAACCCCGTGGGACAGCGCCAGTGCTCCATCTGCGAGGCCCCTCGCCAGAAGCCCGACCTCAACCACATCCTTCGCCTCAGTGTGGAGGAACAGAAATGGGCCTGTGCCCGCTGCACTTTCCGGAACTTTTTGGGGAAAGAGGCCTGTGAGGTGTGTGGTTTCACCCCGGAGCCAGGCCCCGGAGGCTCTCCACTGCCGATCATCAACGGAGTCCTGCCCAAGCCGGCGGCCCTAATTGAGCCCAAAGGGACCTGCAAGGAGGAGGCGCCCAAGGCTGAGAGCTCCGGGGAGGAGTCGGGGGGGAAGAGCCCCGAGGAGGCTGGGATGGAGGAGGAGGAGGAGGGCTGGGCCTGCCAGCGCTGCACCCTCCACAACACCCCCGTCGCCCATTCTTGCTCGGCCTGCGGGGGACCCCGAAAGCTTTCACTGCCCAAGATCCCCCCAGAGGCGCTGGTCGTCCCTGAAGTCATTGCTCCCGCAGGCTTCCACGTCACTCCCACCGCTCCACAACCTGGAGCCATTACAGAGACCCCCGAGAGCCACCCGGTTGTCAACCAGGGCACAGTCACGATGGAGCAAGAGAACCAGAAGATGCCAAGCTTTAGCCTTTTTTCCCCGGGCCTCCAAAACAACCCAGTTCCCCGCAGCCGCCGCGAGGTGCCTCCCCAGCTGCAGCCGCCGGTGCCTGACGCCTCCCAGCCGGCCTCCCCACCTGCCCCAGTGCAGAAGGCCATCCGCTTCCAGGAGCTGATGGTCAACAAGCGGCTGAGCGCGCTGGAGGAGGAGATGGAGGTGAGCCCATCGCCCTGGAAGTGCAGCGCCTGTTCCTTGCTCAATACCTCAGGCGCCGGGCTGTGCGAGGCCTGCAGCACCCAGAAGGGCAGCGACACCATCGATCTGACGGGCGACTCAGTGCGCTTCACCCCCTGTGGCCCCTCCAGCCCTGACTTCACCACCTGGTCCTGTTCCAAGTGCACGCTGAAGAACCCCACAGCCTCCCAGAAGTGCAAGGCCTGTGGCTCCTCCAAGCTGCATGGCTTTCAGGAGCATGGCAGCCTCCCGGGTGAGCTGCCTGTGAAGTGCTCCGAGTGCGGGTCAGACAAGGGCCCGTCCTGCATGGCCTGCACTTCCAAAGCCCCCTCGGCCCGCAAGGTGGCCCGCCTCTTCCCCTTGCAGCCCCCAGCCACTCCGGAGCGGCCAGCCCAGTGGCCCTGCCCTGCCTGCACCCTGCTCAACGAGCTCAAGGCCAAGCACTGCGTGGCCTGCCACACTCCGCAGGGGTACATGGCGCAGCGCAAGGGCGCCAAGCCACTCCGGCGCCGTGAGAGCATGCATGCGGAGAAGCGGCGGCAGACAGACGAAGGGGAGGCCAAAGCCCTCTGGGAAAACATTGTCTCCTTCTGTCAAGAGGTAAGAAGTCCCTGTCTTTCTGGCACAATGATCCCTGGCGGTAGGGAATTCTTTTTCATTTAAAATACAACTTTTTCAATCTTATTGATGCCTAGGTAAGCCTGTTCAAAGATATTAGTCTGGATTAGTATGCAAAGGGGTCTTGTAGCACTTTTGGGACAGAGTGAGAGAAAGATGTTACTGGGCACATGTCTATGAAAACTTATGCCACAAACATATTTCTCTCATTTAACCTTGTGGTTGTTACAAGATCCTTTGTGCAGGTAAGCAAATGTGAGTAGTGATTTGTTGAAACATAGGGCTTGGGAACTTCAGCTGCCTGACAGGAGGATTCTGGGGAGTTGCAGTCCAAAAAAAGTAACTTTTCTTAGTGACAGTAGAGGGCTATGCCAAATTCTAGTCACAGCCATTCCCTCCGCTTACCTATCGCATATGTCTCTTGTTGGACAAGGAAGAGGGAGAGAAGAGCAATGCATGCTACCTTAATCAATGTGGATGAAAGACACAATACAGATGTGACCAACAAGAGCCATATGAGGTCGGTTAGTTAAGGGAGAGACTGTGGCTGGCTCCAACAAGTTGTATGACTCAGTAAGAACTAGAACGTGAATCTTCCAAGTGTCAGCCCACACACTCAATCTCTCTGGCTCTCTCTTAAGCCATCAGCTATTGAAGCACACTCTGACTTTGCCACCTCCAGAGCAAATGCAAGCATCCACACTGTTTGTATAGGTTGGGAACGCCTTGAGAGGACAATAGCCTTTTCAGCTGGCCAGTGTAGAATACATACTGTCATTGTTCCAGAAACAGTCCCCACAGAAGCCATGCCTCTTTCTTGTCCCAGTGTGCTCACAGAAGTCCACATGATAAGAAAGCGAACAGCCTGCACATTGTCTTGCCCCCTGTCCCCTTCATCAGCTGTGAGGACAAACAGATCTTCAAATGTTGTAAGACTTGGGTAATCAAAGGCCCCAAAGACACAATTCTGGTCCTTCAAAGAAGAGCCTGTTTGCTGCCTGCCATCATGTTGGATATTCTTTATATACAAACATACACACGTCTCTTCCCTGACTTGGCTTCATTTTCCCTGTGGAAATATCTAAGGGTTTCCATGTTTCTCTGAAAGGTAAAACCTTTGATGCTTCCTTGGGGAGCATATGGCATTAACTGCAATGTGATTCAGGGAGACAAATGTAGAAACCTGTGGTTTTGTGGAACCTGGTCTTCCAGAGTCGAAGCACTTGGGCTTTCTGATTACAGGGACAGCAAAGTCTTCTGCATTTGTCTCCTTTTCCCCATCTTCAGCCACACCCTCACAAGTAGCTAGAATTTCCCAAGCAAATAAATACATATTTTTGTGAGCAATCATTGCCGTGGTGGATAGGGTCTTTCTTTTTTCTCAAATGGGCATTTTTCTTTAGCTTTGCAAAAGGCATCATCAAGGTTGTTACTCATTACTGTCTGGGCAATCATTCCTTAACTTGTTACAACATTCTATCCCTTCAGAACAAGGTTAACTTTGTGGATGACAGTTTCCCTCCGGGACCCAAGTCGGTAGGCTTCCCAGAGGGGGACAGTGTCCAGCAGCGAGTGAAGCAATGGCTGAGACCGCAAGAGATCAACTGCAGCATCTTCAAGGACCGTTCAGTCAAGTGGTCGGTGTTCCGGACCCCGAGGCCCTCAGATATCTTGCAGGGACTGCTGGGGAATTGCTGGTAAGAAGCTGCAGGGTCCACACAACTGAGATGAGAGCAAAACCGGCTGAAGCCATCTCTCCTTCCCAGCACAAAATATAAGGACATCAGTCAGACTTTTCCCAGGACGGTACTCACCCTAACCAACATTTCCCAGGTCCCACCCAGTCTTGGACCCTGGGCAACTCATTCTTTTGGCAGATTTGTTTTCATCTGTAGCAGAACGTGTACAAAGTAGCCCTGCAGATGTTCTTAATCTTCAGCTCCAGCATTCTTACATAAGCTAAGCATCCCCAACCTGTGGCCCTCCAGCTGTTTGGGCTTCCAACTCTCAGAGTTCCTGACCATTAAACAAGCTGGCAATAGGGGCTTTTGGGAGTTGAAGGGCCATAGTTTTAGGATGTCTGTTGTAAACTATGTTGGTAAGAGCCATATATTCCCACCCCGGTGGATGGCTTTGCCTGGATATACTGTATTTCCTCACATCTAATGCTCACCATTTTTTGGCTGAATTACCTTCCCAAAATTAGGCTGTGCATTAGAGTCACTTAATATTGTACTCTGAGTGCTCAGCCAAAGCCAAAGGGGAAGCTACTTCAGGAGAACCTGAAGCTCCTATCTGAGGGATGTCATGCTTAATTTAATGGCCAGGGCTCAATGCTATGCAGTGCTGAGATTTGTAGTTTGATGAGGCTTCAGCCGTCTTTGGCAGCCCCCATGATTTCAAACTACAGCCCTTGTAGCATTGAACTAAGGCAGTCAAAGAGGATTCATTTCACAGCATAGGTGCACCCCAAAGTTTCCTTTCCATTGCTAGAAGCATTGGTGTTCTAACAGTTTTGTTTATAAAGGACTCATAAGCATGCAGTCAATGTAATGCACATCTTTTTTGGCCAAATTACAAAGAGTGCACTTTTTTATTTCAGGTTTTTGAAAATTGAGGTTCACATGACATTTGATGGCACATGAGACTCGAATAAATATGAATATTTTTCCAAGGCTTCACAATTCCTTTGCCTTCTTTCTTTCTGCTTACTTGTAGTCACAGGCTGCCCTCTGGTGGTATTGATTGATAGAACATTGGTGTCCTTTTCTCCTCCGAGCCTAAAACAACTATTTGAATTTGCTGTCAGAATAAAAAATAATAATAAAGTAGTGTTCTGACATTCTCTTACCACCCCCAGAAGGGAGAGCATGGCGAATAAGTGGGGAGCCTGAGATGAATGAATCACAAAGCAAAGATGCAGATGAGGAAAGTTCTAGGGAAGTGAGGTTGTGGCTTTTGGTGCACACTGTTCTCTTGGAAACATTACTTCCTTTGATTACAGATATTTTGCCACAAGTCAGCCTGGCAAAATGTCAAGACATGAGGACCGTTCCCTGAAGCCTTCCATGTTGATTTTACCTTTTGGGAACATTATTGGATCTCACTAGGGGCCATCCTATTTGAGTCTGGATTAATATAGTTATGAACTGAAGGCAGCAGCAAAGGGGCTCATCATCACCCATATGGTTTCATAGATTGTAGGTGACTATATTTGTTTTTCTATGAACTCACCCCTTTTCCCTTCTGCCTGCTTCTCAGTTAATCCTATGCTAAGATAAATGTACATAAATGCTAGTTTGCAATGAGCTGCACTCCCCACACTGGATCAGCTGTTTACAGTGGAGTTCTTCCTGTTTCCTTTCAAAAATAATTGATTTGGTTCTTTTATTGGGATATTGCATTTCTGCTGTGAAAACCATTTCAAGCCAAATTGCATGCCATTAAAAAGCAACGTTGTCACTTGTAATATAAAATGATGATTTTCAGTGAAAGGCAGAAGAGAAGTAAGTTCAGAAACTCTGCTTTCAAAATAAGATGTAAACAGAAAGAAACTCCAGTGAAGCTCTGCCTGTTCCTGACACATCTAGCATGGAGCAAAGGGTTGATTCCAGTCAATATTGATTGCATTCTTCTTGGGAACTTCTGTCAAGTTGACTGACTTATGGCAACCCTATGAATGAATACCTCCAAGTCACCCTTGCAGACTCCTTGGTGGTTCATAGTTGCCGCTGCCTTGTCTGCAGTCTCTGTGTTTGGGTTTCACAAAAGCTCTAAACCCAAGGCCTTTGGCACAGCCACCTTTGCCCCCTGAATCCAGCGTAAGGTTCGTAATAGATTATTATTTGAAACACAACAAGATTAGTACACAGCAAACAAGATCACTATGTTGGTTGTTGTATTGGATCACAGGTCAGACACTTCCCAAGTGTCTAGGACTATGTGATGTATCGGCAAATAATGCGTGCAGATCCCAGTAAGCTGGCCTTTGCAGCTGTTGTTGTTGTTCATTCATTCAGTCATCTCCGACTCTTCGTGACCTCATGGACCAGCCCACGCCAGAGCTCCCTGTCAGCCGTCACCACCCCCAGCTCCTTCAAGGTCAGTCCAGTCACTTCAAGGATGCCATCCATCCATCTTGCCCTTGGTCGGCCCCTCTTCCTTTTACCTTCCACTTTCCCCAGCATAATTGTCTTCTCTAGGCTTTGCTGTCTCCTCATGATGTGGCCAAAGTACTTCAAATTTGTCTCTAGTATCCTTCCCTCCAATGAGCAGTCGGGCTTTATTTCCTGGAGGAGGGACTGGTTGGATCTGACAGGTGGTAATTTTGTCAGTGCCGATTGTGTTTAAGTGCAGGCCAAGGTCTTTAGGCAATGCACCCAGTGTGCCAATCACCACTGGGACCACCTTGACTGGCTTGTGCCAGAGTCTTTGCAGTTCGATCTTTAAATCCTCGTATCGCGTCAGCTTTTCCAGTTGTTTCTCTCCAATCCTGCTGTCACCTTGGATTGCAACATTGACAATCCATACTTGGTTTTTTAACACGATTGTGAGGTCAGGAGTATTGTGCTCCAAAACTCTGTCAGTCCGAATTCGGAAGTATCAGACTAGTTTGATGTGTTCATTTTCTGTAACTTTTTCAGGCTTGTGGTCCCGCCAGTTCTTTGTCGTAGGCAGATGGTTTTTGTGGCAAAAGTTCCAGTGTATCGTCTGAGCAACAGTGTTATGCCTCTGCTTAAAGTCTGTCTGCGCGATCTTCTTGCATCATCTGAGGATGTGATCTATTGTTTCATCTGCTTCCTTGCAGAGTCTACATTTGGGATCAGTCGTCGACTTTTCAATTTTGGCTTTGATGGCATTTTTTTCTAGAAAGCCATCTAGAATCAGGCCCTCTGTCTCCTTTTTCAAAGTTCCATTTGTGAGCCACATCCACATAAATAAATGTTGTAATAATAATAATAATAATAATAATAATAATAATAATAATAATAATAATCTAATCTATCCTCCCCATCGGGTGCCATCTTGTCATTGGCAGGGGGGCTTAACTGCTTCTATGATGTTGAGAGCTGTGCTGGCGGTAGTGTAATAGATTATTTATTTATTTATTTATTTATTTATACCCTGCTTTATCTCCCCAAAGGGGATGCAAAGCAGTGAGTCCCCTTTCCGAAAGCAGTGATCCTCTGAGGCTGCAAGGCCATGATACAGCCATGATGCAGCCAGGCCGACAGCCAAGAAACAGTCAGCCCTCTCTTTCTCCCATGTTCTTCCTCTCTTCTTTCCCATCAGGAGAATGAATAGGGAGAGGAATGATCCCTCCTATGGAGACAGCTTTTAAAATTAGCTCAAAGACTCCATGAGGACAAGCGAAGGCTATGGAGCCTTAAAGGAAGATCGGCTCTCAGTCCCAGTCCAGTCTAGTCTGCCTTGAGTGGTAGGCCCAGTGTGAACAACATGTGCATATAGAACTGAATAGCTGTATTTGTCACTGTGCTATCATACAACAAAACACCCCCCCCCCCTACACACACACACACACCACAAAACAACACACTTATCCTTCCACACCACAACCACCACTGGACAGCCCCCAATGCCACATCAGTGCGAAACCATGGAGTTCAGCATAGCTACAGCTCTAGGATAAAAGCTCCCTTTCAGTCTGTTTGTCCTTCCGTTTGTCACCCTGTACTGCCTGCCAGGTGGTAATAATTTTTAAAAACTATGCTGGGTGAAACATATCGCCAAGAATACTCTGAGCTTTCTTAAGGCAGCAGAAATTACAAAGAGGGGAGAAAGAGGGCAACCTATGATACTCTGTGCAGAAGTGGTGACCTTTTGGAGTGCCTTCCTATCTGCAATTATATGCAGTTTACCAAACCAGGTGCAGATGCAGTAGGCTAGGACACTCTCTAGAGAACTCGGAAGAAAGTCACCAGCAGTTTTCCATTCAGCTATTGGTTCCTTAGAAGTCTATATATTCATCCATCTACCTACCTATCTACTAATCCATCTGTTGACCTGTCTGTCTGTCTGTCCATCCATCCATCTATTTATCTGCCTATCTATTGACCTACCTATATATCTACTAATCCATTCATTATTCTACTTATTGACCTATCTATCTATCAACCTATCTATCTATCTATCTATCTATCTATCTATCTATCTACTAACCCACCCATCTGTCTGCATCTCCCTATCTATGCATCTCCCTATCTATTGACCTTTCTGTCTGTCCGTCCGTCCATTTATCCATCCATCCATCCATCCATCCATCCATCCATCCATCCATCCATCCATCTATCTATCTATCTATCTATCTATCTGTCTGTCTGTCTCTTATGGGTTGGACTGGATGACCTTTGGGGGTTCCTCAGAAGTTTCAGGTAATACAATCTCTGCTGGATCCTCTTCACCAAGGCTGCTGCATGAACACTGCCTCAGGCCAGATCCTCCTTCGTAGTGACACCCAGGAACTTGAAACTGGCCACCCACTCCACTTGGTCTCCATTTATGTACATAGACAGAAACATTTTGTGGGTCTTCTGGTGAGCCTTCCAGGATTACTTGTTTTCACACGACTTCTCCCTTTTTAGGTTCCTGAGTGCTCTGGCTGTGCTGGCGGAACGGCCAGAGTTGGTGGAGCGAGTCATGATCACGCGGACGATTTGCCCTGAGGGGGCCTACCAGGTGCGGCTTTGCAAGGACGGCACCTGGACCACCGTACTGGTGGACGACATGCTTCCCTGCGATGAGTTTGGCTACCTCCTCTTCTCTCAGGTTGGTGCGGGAGTGGGATTTGGCCACTGCTGGCCCATTATGTCCGAGGAAAGAGGGAGTATGTCAGGGTGGGTGGGGTTATAACACAGGCGTGGGCAAACTTCGGACCTCCATCCAGGTGTCTTGGACTTCAACTCCCACAAATCCTAACAGCCTTAGGCCCCTTCCTTTTCTGCTCCTTTTCCGCTTAAGTGGCTGAGGGGGAAAAGGAAGGGGCCTGAGGCTGTTAGGAATTGTGGGAGTTGAAGTCCAAAACACCTGGAGGGCTGAAGTTTGCCCATGCCTGTTTATATAGAAGCAGAATCCAGTTTTTGACAGCACAAATTTTCAGTTGCTTGGCCCCAGGGTTTTGTTTTACCCAGATCTCAGGAATGTTCCTTTTTTTGGCTTATAACTCCCAGAAAATGCGTCAAGTGAATTTCACAAAGTTTGAATGAGTTAAAGAGAAAGAGAAAGGGAAGGGAAAAGGAGCGAGAAGCAGTGAAGGAATATGAGATAAATAAGGCCATTAGGTGTTGCGAAGTGCCAGGACAAGACATCTGTGTCAATAGGTAGAAAGAGATCAAGTTGACCTGACAAGATGGGAATGAGGGAGAAGAAGGAGCAGAAATTGTTTTCAGAATGTGCAGGAAATGTTTTGGGAACAAAAGAGAAAACGAAAGGATGTTTAAAGTACAGAATAAAGACACAAGAGACATGGAGCTAAGAGAAGGAAAACTACAGATAAGACAGAGAGAATCAGAAAATAATAGAGTTGGAAGAGACCCCGTGGACCATCTAGTCCAATCCCCTTCTGTCATGCAGGAAAAGCACAATCAAAGCCTCTCCTACAGATGGCCATCCAGCCTCTGTTTAAAAGTTTACAGGGAAGAAACTTTCACCAGACTCTGTGGTGAGAGTTCCACTGTTGAACATCTTGTACAGTCAAGAAGTTCTTCCTAATGTTCAGGTGGAATCTCCTTTTTGACTTCATGTTGCACACATGTGTGTGTTTGCATCAATTGAGACTATAAAACCTATGATACAGAGACAGACAAATGTGGGATTTTTTTAACGCTTATCTTGGCTTTGCTTGATTGGAATACCACCCCTTAGTTTATCTGCAGAACGAAACTATTGAATTTTAATCTCCTCGATCTCTAGTCTTAGTTGGAAAGTAAAAGGACTAGAGATATATAAGGGGGGGGGGGGGCACTGCAACAACACCATTAAACAGACAGTCCAGAAGATAAATTGTGATGTCCTTCTGCCTTGTCTTGCAGGCCCAGAGGAAGCAGCTGTGGGTGGCCCTGATCGAGAAGGCCCTGGCCAAGCTCCACGGCTCATACTTTGCTCTCCAGGCAGGGCGCGCCATTGAAGGCCTGGCCACACTCACGGGCGCCCCTTGCGAGAGCCTGATGCTGCAGGTCAGCTCCACTAACCCTCGCGAGGAGCCCATTGACACTGACCTCATCTGGGCCAAAATGCTGAGTTCTAAGGAGGCTGGGTAAGAGGACCAGGCCGAAAGGACGAGGGTGTTTCCCTTCCACTGGGAGGAGGAGAACAAAGCCTGTCACTGCAAACCTAAGTGGGTTGGCGATCCCCTTTCGGCAGACAGCCGCACAGAGGGGCATGCTGTTTGGCCAGCCGCTCTTATGTTTTGACTGGAGCTGGGAAATATACATACACATACACTTTATTTCCCAAGATTGGGCATTTGTGAAATTGTAGCAGGTTCTGATAACGCTATGTAACACTATTTTTATTAGTATTGTTCTTATGTTTATTTATACCCTGCTTTTTCTCTCCACTGGGAAACTCAAAGCAACTTACATTAAAAGTATTTCAATACAATTTAAAATCTACAAATATACAAATTTTAAGACAGAATTAAATCTCATTGATATTTTAAAAAACCGCTAAAAATCAAAATCATGACACTGAAAGATGGCTTGGAGAATCAGGGGCAAACCGTAGGTATAAGTGGTCTCTGACCTTCCTTATATCTGCTTATTGATACCTTATCATCAGGATAAGGCTTTTTCTTAGATAATTTGTAGTTTAAAAAGAAAATGAGAGCAGCTTTATCTTGTGTAATCACACAAGAAAGGAGTTACAGAAAATGGTTGGAAGTCGCCCGCCTTGGGGTAGGGTTCCCAATAAGATATTGGCTGCCCCTCAAATTGTCTCGCAGTCCAAATAGCTTGTATAGCTATGGAAGCCTGGATTGAAAATGCAGCTGCTCAATGACAAGTTGATGGATGGTAAAAGTACTATAACACTATATAACAATTTTTGTTCCTGGGTTATAAATGTCATTTCCTAATGGGTTTTATCATTAAAGCACAGGAAAAGTTTACTAAACTGCCAAAACTTTGTTTCTGTGGGAGGGACATCATCCTGCAGCACATTTTGCTCTAGTTTTTCAATGCATTTCTCATCATCGAGTCTCAACCCATTCAACCTAGTTTGTGGCCAGCACAGAAACAACGTTTCTAGAGCAAAACAACAACTTTCAAAGTAAGGGCGGCTCCATTAAACAGGAAATAACACTTTCAAACCAAATACAGATTTATTTATTTCCTTACTTGCTATGTTTCAACCCCGCTCTTACCTCACCCAGAAGGGGACTCGGGACAGCTTCCAGTTTTGGCAATTATTCAGTGCCACATAAGGGAAGCAATACATAACACAATTAAGCTATAAAAAACAGTAAACATATAAATACCATTAAAACCCATTTAAACATATTAAAACATATTAGCACAGATCCCATTGTGTTTCAAATTGTGTTACGTATTGTAATCATACTTTAGAAAAGTAACATGAATTTGACACAGGATTTGCCAGGCTGAGATTGAAGTCTGTTGTCTATTTCTCCACCCTCACCTTAGGAAAATGATCAATAGTGCATTTTTCTCTTAAAATAATCTCCCAAATATGTTTCCCCCATTTGATTCCTGGTGCCATGTATGATCGATCTTTGTCTTTTCTCCACCTTCACCCTACTGATCCATCCCTCCCTTCCCAACCATCCTTCGCCCTTCAGTTTCCTAATGGGCGCGTCCTGCGGAGGGGGCAACATGAAGGTAGACGACGCAGCCTATGAAAGCATGGGCCTTCGACCAAGGCATGCATACTCCATATTGGATGTACGAGATGTGCAAGGATGCAGGTAAGGACAGCCAAGCCAAACACTGTGGCCCATTTGTTTGTTTCAAGGGTTACTTGTTTGCTTTAAATTGTCCATTCATCCCTGCCTCAGGGGAGCGTGCTTGCGCCAACAATGTTTAACATTTACACAAATGATCAGCCACTGCCAGAAGGGACAGGGAATTTCATCTATGCTGACGATCGTGCCATCACCACTCAAGCAGGGAGCTTTGAAATGGTTGAACAGAAGCTCTCCAAAGCTTTAGGCACTCTTACTGCCTATTACAGAGAAAACCAGCTGGTTCCTAATCCATCTAAAATACAGACGTGTGCTTTTCATCTTAAGAACATACAATCATCTCAGGCTCTGAGGATGACCTGAGAAGGAATCCCACTGGAGCATTGAGGCACAACCAAATACCTAGGAGTACTCCGAACTGTGCTCTCACCTGTTTGAATATCAAGGGGGTGTTAGAAATAATATTGTACGAAAGCTGACTGGCACAACCTGGGAACCGCAACCAGACACAGTGAAGACATCTGCCCTTGTGCTTTGCTACTGTGCTACTGAGTACGTATGGCCAGTGAGGAATACATCTCACCACGTCAAACCAGTGGATGTGGCTCTTAATGAAACATGCTGCATTATCACAAGATGTCTACACCCAACACCACTGGAGAAATTATACTGTTTAGCTGGTATTGCACCACCTGACATCCATTGGGAAGTAGCAGCCAATAATGAAAGGACCAAGGCATTGACATCTCTGGCCCATCCTCTGTTCGGATATCAGCCAGCATGCCAACCCCTTAAATGAAGAAACACCTTTCTACGATCTACAGAGATACTCACAGGAACACCTCAGCAAGTAAGTATCCAAAAGTGGCAGGCTATAACCCAGAACCTCAATCAGTGGCTGAGGGCGGACGAGAAGCTCCCACCTGGGCATACAGAAGAATGGGTGAATTAGAAGGTGCTGACCAGGGTGTTCTCTGAGACCATGAGATGCAGAACCAATCTTAGGAAATGGGGCTACAAAGTCGAGTCCATGACATGCGAGTGTGGAGGAGAGCAGTCCACAGACCACTTACTACAATGCAGTCTGAGTCCTGCCATATACAGCAACACCAGAGGTCAAAGGACATTTAGTATAACGCTTTATTTGGTTTTTTTATACATTATAACTGTATTCTCAATTCACTTGTGACACGATAAATAAATAAATAGCATAATAATGAGTCGGGACTCTCAATGCTTTAGTCCATGTTTATGAGGAAGTCCTATCAAATGAAGCAAGGTTTATTTCTGAGGAAGCATACATAAAATTGCAGTGTTCATTTCCTCGTTGATCTACTTCTGTTTGCTTTGGATAAAATGACTCACTTTTGGCTACGGAAGAGATTATGTTTTGACCCTCCCTTAAAAGGTCAGGGTCAGACACTGACTCAGAAAGGAAGCTTGAGCTGGTTTTGAGCCCCTGAATCATCCATTCACTTACTCAGGCCTGACTCTGTTCTTTCCTCCTTGCTTTGCTTAGGCTGCTCCGGCTCCGTAACCCATGGGGTCGCTTCTCTTGGAATGGCAGCTGGTCTGATGAGTGGTCCCACTGGCCGACACCCTTGAGGCATGAACTGATGCCCCACGGGAGCAGCGAGGGGGTCTTTTGGATGGAGTACAGTGACTTTATCAGGTATTACTATATATTCCATGGAGCCAGGGGAGCTCTTTCCCAAGCTCCTGGTTGCACTCACTTGTGGGGCTTCCATTTGAGAGATTGGTGCCTCAGTTCACGGTCAGACACTGAAGGCATCTCCCATTTGTCTGAAGCAGAAGGAAGTAAAAAAAATATATTAAACAACAATTCAGAGATTTCCCACATTTGTTCAGACTGAGTAATAAAGTTATTATTATTATTTGAAACACAACAAGAGGAAACAAACAAGGACATCTAATCACCTCTCAACAAAGGTTTCCTCCAGGCACTGTCAGGCCATTATACTAATCAAGGTGGTCAGTTGAAACATTCACACCTAGCTCCAGCAGACAAGAGTCCTTTGTCCCACCCTGGTCATTCCACAGATATATAAACCCTTTTCCTAGTTCCAACAGACTCACTACCTCTGAGGATGCTTGCCATAGATGCAGGCGAAACGTCAGGAGAGAATGCTTCTAGACCATGGCCATATAGCCCGAAAAAACCTACAACAACCCAGTGATTCCGGCCATGAAAGCCTTCGACAATACCCAACAAGATGATGATGATGATTATGATGATGATTATTATTATTATATTTATTGCCAGCCTCTCCTTGCAGCTTGAGGATGATTAATACACTGAACAGATATTAAATACAAGACACGAGTTTAAAATTGGCTGGGTAGGCCTTCTGCCGGAAGAGATAGGTCTTTAGATGGTTTTAAAATTCCGACAGTTGATCTAGCTGTCAGAGCACTTCCAGCTAAAATGTTAAGTAAAAATCTCTCATCTTAATGGTTTTCCCTGTTGTTTTTCTTAGGCTTTGTGTGTGTGAGAGTTGGAGTTGTTTTGAAATGGAATTTTAACACAGCTGCACTATTTACTTGTAGTGCTGGCAAAAACAGCATCATGTGCTTTCGTGATTTCCTGACTCTTCTATGAACTGTTAATTTTAACTTAGATCTTTTTATTTGGAGGCCGTAAGATGGCTTCTTAACCTGCTGGATTGCACAGCTAGCCAGAACATGTTAAAAATACAGTGGGTAGAAGGAGATAGTAGCAGAGCTATCTCCCCCGCAAAATAATGTGCTATTCCTGGTGAAAAGGTCATATTGGAGTGCTGGATATCATAGAATCATAGTGTTGGAAGGGTTCCCATCAAGGTTCTCCAGCTAGAGTGTTCCCAGCAGCAGGTAGCTATCCAATCTCTTTTTTGAAGAGTCTCCACCATCTCTAGACAATTGGTTCCATTGCTAAACAATTCCCACTGCCAGGAAGTTCCTTCTGATGTTCAATTGAATTCTACTGTCTTGTAACTTCAAACCACTAGGCTAGGTCCTATCTTCTGGTCCCTCCCTTCCTTTCCTTCCTTCTCTCTCCCTTCCCCCCTTTCCTCTCTCTTCCTTTTCTTTCTTCCCTTCTTCCTATCCTCTTGTCATCCATCTCTCCCTCTTCCTTTTTCTTTCCTTCCTAACTCTTTCCATCCCTCCTCCTCTCTTCCTTTTTTTCTTCCCTTACTGCCTTCTTTCCTTATCATCCTCCTTTTTTTCTTTCCCTCTCTCATCCTTGTCTTTCCTCCTCTTTTCTTCCTTCCTTCCTTCACTCTTTCACTCTTCCTTCCTTTTCTTTCTTGTCCCTTACTCTCTGGAGCAGCCCTTGAGTCCAGTCATGGCACTCCTCAGTCTTCTGTCTGCCAGATTGAATATGCCCAACTCCTTTAGCCTTTTGTCAGATGTTTAGTTCCCTCATAGGACTTAGAGAGGATTGTGGGGGTCTTGGCAAGAGCTGCTTCCAGATCCAATGGGCTTTCTGTTGTTCCTTTCCCAGGTATTTTGACTCAGTAGACATCTGTAAGCTCCACTCAGACTGGCACGAGGTGCGTGTGCAAGGCACTTTCCCAAACAAGGCCAGTGGTCCCATCACAGTGACCTCGCTGACGGTGCTGGAGCGTGCCACCTTGGAGTTTGCCCTCTTCCAGGAAGGCAGCAGGTAAGGCTGGCATTCAAGCTTAGGAGAACATGGCCACAACTTGCTCCTAGGGCCTTTTACTCTCTTGGCTTCACAAGTTGCAGCCGTCTGGGTTGGAGGGGCCGCAGTAGCACAGTGGGTTAAACTGCTAGCTGCAGAAAAACTTGCTGACTGAAAGGTTGGCAGTTTGAAGCCACAGGTTAGGGTGAGCTCCCACTGTTAACCCTAGCTTCTTCCAACCTAGCAGTTTGAACACATACAATATGAGTAGATCAATAGGTATCGCCTTGGGGGGAAGGTAAAAGGCACCCATGCAGCCATGCCAGCAACACAACCAGGAGGGTCTATGGACATCAGGCTCCTCGGCATGGAAAATGGATCAAGAGCACCTCCCCCATCTCCTCCAGGAGTTAAGCATCTCCTCCAGGCACTGGTGATGGAAAGGGAAACCTTTGCCTTTGTTTGCATATTGTATGTCATTGTCCCCTGTGTAAAAGGCATTGAATGTTTGCCTGTATATTTGTATACTGTATTTCACTCTGAGTCTCTTCGGGAAGATAGAGCTGGATAAAAATAAAGATTATTATTATTATTATTATTATTATTATTATTATTATTATTATCATCTTGAGTAACCCTGTAAACTTCAGAAATCTTTAGCTGTAATTCCCATGACCAATGGCTGTGCTGACTGAGACTGATGGGACTTGTAGTGAAAAAACTTAGAGCAGGCATAGGCCAACTTCAGCCCTCCAGGTGTTTAGGACTCACAAATTCTAACAGCCAGTTGTGAGAGTTGAAGTCCAAAACATCTGGAGGGAGGACTGAAGTTGGCCCATCCCTGCTCTAATAAGAACCCAAGCGGAGTCATTTTGATTGGCTGGGAAATCGAGTCTGCCTTTTACCCCTTTCCTTTTTCCCTGCATTGTCATTACTTTCTCTTATCGTGAATATCAGTCCTGATATTCTGATATAACTAATTAAACTGATATATGCAATACAAGATGCATATGAACAAAGGTAAGAACACTACAAATAGATACAGGACAAGTTTCAGCCTGAGTCCAACACAGGAAATTGTCTTATCCTGGCTAACTCAACCTTTGAACAAATCCCATCATCCCTGATCATTGGTACTTATCCAAAACATCTTCTGTTGACGTCTGGTCTGTCGTGACTGGCTGTGCACGTTTTCCAATTGGAGCCTTTCCTTTCCCATATGCAAAGCATGAGGCCCTCTCCTCTCCCTTGTTGCAGGCGCTCGGACACAGTGGACAGCCACTTGCTGGACCTTTGCATCATGGTATTCCGTGCCACCTTCATCAATGGCAGCAAGCTCAGCCTGGGGCGCCTCATGGCACACAGCAAGCGAGCGGTCAAGAAGTTTGTCAACTGCGATGTTATGCTGGAACCAGGAGAGTATGCTGTGGTGTGCTGTGCCTTCAACCACTGGACCGCAGCAGTGACCGGCAGCTCCTCCGGCCAAGGTAACCGCAGCAAGCATGGCAGGCAGTGGGCAGGGAAGTTGCTCTTGCTGGCTTGCTTAGTGCTTTAAAAAAAAACTTCTCAAAATAATGTTAGAAGGTAGAGGGTTCGGATAGCATAGAATAGAAAAGTATAGAATAGCTTTATTGTTTTTGTGCTATTGCAAAATGAAATTACATGCCTTCCCCAGCACACACCACAAAACAACACACTCATCCCTCCACACTCCCACCACCACCACACAGCACCCAATGCCACTTCAGTGCGAGACCACGGAGTTCAACATAGTCACAGCTCTAGGATAAAAGCTATCTCTCAGTCTGTTTGTCCTTGCCTTTGTCACCCGGTATGGTCTGCCAAATGGCAATAATAAGATATTGTAAGGAATTCCTTCACAGAGCTGGAGAAGGGAGAAAGTTGGGAGGCAGTGGTCACAATGACACTCAAGCAACGCCAGGTATATACACGAATACATAGACTAGACTAGAATAGAATAGTTTTATTGTCATTGTGCTATGCCAAATTAAATGCCTTCTCTAGCACACATCACAAAACAACACACCCATCCCTCCGCACTCCCACCACCAACACACATCCCTCACTGCTACATCTATGCAAAGCCATGGAGTTCAGTATAGTTACAGCTCTAGGATAAAAGCTCTCTCTCCATCTGTTTGTCCTTGCCTTTGTCACTCTGTACCGTCTGCCAGATGGCAATAATTCAAAGAAAGAATACGCTGGGTGAGATGAATCTCCAAGAATGCTCTGAGCTTTTTTAAGGCTGCGGGACTTATAAAGTTCTTCCAAAGAGGGGAGAAAAAAGGGCAACCCATGATTCTCTGTGCAGAAGTGGTGTAACAAATAATAATAATAATAATAATAATAATACATACATACATACATACATACATACATACATACATACATACTTTATTTATAGACCAGCCTCTTACCCCAAGAGGACTCAGGGCAGTTAACATGCACAAAATACAAACATTCAATGCTGTAGTCAAATTCACACAAGCTGTAGAGAAGCCTATGCTTAATTCTCAGTTTGCTTCTCTTTTGACCACCATTGAGTACATTAGGCTGTTTTGAACTCCTCAGTTGAATAATGATGTCCTGAAGTTTGTGAAATCAGAGTCCAGCTGATTCTGTGCTGAAGCTGGCTAGGCTACCAGCATCAAGAGCTGTACACTACATTTTGCTATCATTTTTGGTCCCATGTATTTTGCTTCTAACCCTAGCAAGCCACCACTGGAATCCTTGAGATATCAGTCTCAGGCTGGGAAAAGTTCCCTTGCCCTAGATCAATATTTGTCAAGTCTATAGTCCAATTTTATGAGCCTTTGGATCAGGCATGGGCCAACTTTGGGCTTCCTAATGGCTGTTAGGAATTGGCCCATGCCTGCTCCAGATCCTTCACATGTGGCCAAAAGATGCTTAAAAATAAGAAAAAAGGAAGTAGCTGGAACTTCTATCAGACTTTGAAAACATGTGTTTTGTGCTGAACAGTATGGGTTGGGAGAGTTCTTAAGACCTACTTATAAGGTCACCTGAGCTATTCCAAAAGAGGTCCTTCATCCATTCCCCATCCAGAAAGGCAGCCCTATTGTTTCTTTTTCAGCCCTGATTTCTGCATCTTTTTAAACATCAGCCCTTCCATACTGGGTTGGCTTGTGCATCCTAGAGTGTGCATCCTAGAATTGTATTAAAGCTTAAGATGGACTTTGATTCGCTTTGTGAGAAGGAGGCCTGATGGCAGGGAGGGCGAGGACAGGGATCCTAGAGACACAACGCAGCCACCTGACATGGCTTGTTTATGTCCAGCCCTCCCAGTCTCCAGTCCTACCACCGGCAATGCAAGCCCAGCTATGGAAGTTTCCAGCTACATCTTGGCCATCTACAGCTCCCGCTTGGTGATGGTGGAGCAGATCGAGGCTCAGTCTACCACTCTAGCTGACGCCATCATCCTTCTCACAGAGAACAAGGGCGAGAGGCACGAGGTAAGTGCAGAGTTCAGGTGTGGGGCACCTAGCATTCCAGATAATTCCAGAGTAATTTTTCCAAACCATCTCCTATCGGATAGGATAGGATATTAACTTAGGTACCTGGCAATGCCCAGGTTGTTTGAAGAAGTCATTTGTTTTATTTTATTTATGAATATTCCAAATAAGAAAATGTATAAGGATGTGGGTGGTCTACAACTCACATTGTGCCACATTAACCCCCTCAAACTGTGTTAGTATTTGAAATTGGTCATGTTAGGCATGTGTGCCAAGTTTGCTGCAGATGCATCATCAGTGGGGTTCAATGCGCCCTCTGGCTGCAGGGTGAACTACAACTTCCAACTTGGTGAGTCAGTCACCTGTAACCCCCTCCAGTATGTTCAGCTGGTCATGAGAGTTCTGTGTGCCAGGTTTGGTCCCGGTCTGTTGTCTGTGGAGGTCACAGCGCTCTGCTTGATGCAGGGTGAACTACAACTTCTATCATGTTGAGTGAGTCCCCCCAACACCTCCAGTATACTCCATTTCTGATCAATTCTGCTCTGTTTGATATGCAGACAGAGTAGAAAAAAGTAGGAAAGGGTTATAGGAGAGACAGTCGGTGGGGTCATACACATTTCACATCAGTGGAGAGAGTCAGAAACACTGGGGTGTCTGTGGTGGAGAAAACACATAAAATCTAGGATGAAATTGTCCTAGTATGAAAGCCTTCACTTGAGTGATGGGCAGTATGGCGTTTGAGGAGGACACTGTCATGGGTTGGTGGCTCTAGTTCACGGTGCTCGCTATAACCTGCAATGTCATTGGAGGGAGGGCCTTTGGTTGCTCCTCATTGGTGGGGTTCATAGTTCTTTATGGAAGTAGGAGCCTGTCTGTGAAAGTGGGAGCCCCAGCCACATACATACATACATACCTACTTTCACTTTGATAATATATATATAAATAAACCAGTTCAGAAAGATCTCAAATGTTGTGGTTGTGTGCCTTCCAAGTCATGTCTCGCTTCCGGCGACTCTAAGGCAAATCCATGGATAAGATTTGCTGAGAGGAAGGTCTCCACACTAGTTCTGGAGACCATTTCAGATCATTCTGCAAGAATTTTATTTTCCTCATACACTGGATTTCAGTGTTCAGGGTCATCAGCAGGGTTTTTTTAAATATTAAAAAAGTGAAGAGTGCTGAAGGAGGATTGACGTTGGGAGGGACATATGGCCCCAGTATATGTCCTTTTCCCAACACTGTTCTTTATATGGTTAGAGAGCATCTTTATGTACTTCTTGCATGGTTCCCCCTTTTCTTTTCTTTTTTTTGACAAGATCTTGCAACGTTTTCCTCTTTCTTAAATCCCATCTTGGGAGAATGATGAAACATCAATTCAATGAATATTTAATTTTTTTCATTAGTGTTGCCCCTGGGCGCAAGGTGTCAGTGTCCGAGTCAAAAGAAGATTGACTGCCTGCTTTGCTTCCTTAGGGGCGCGAAGGCATGACCTGCTACTACCTGACGCACGGCTGGGCTGGCCTCATCGTTGTGGTGGAGAACCGGCACCCAAAGTCCTACCTGCACGTTCAGTGCGACTGCACAGACAGCTTCAACGTAGTGTCAACACGGGGGAGCCTCAAGACTCAGGACAGTGTGCCACCACTACACAGGTGAGAAAGGAAGGAGCCTTAGCCTGGTATGGACAATATACAGTCAGGCATTGGGATGGACCTGATCTTTTCATTGGGTTACTAGAAAGTGTCTTGTTTCCAGGCGATTTTGTAGCTTGTGCTACTCAGAAACCTACATGTATTTACTTGCATCTAATGTGCCATCGAATCCAATGCTCACCTCAATTTTTAAAACCCTGAAACCAAAAAATGTAATTGCTGCTGAAAAAAGTGCACTCTTTGTAATTTGGCCAAAAAAGGTGTGCATTATAGCAGCTGTATGCTTCGCATGCCTTCTTTAAAAACAAAAGTGTTAGGACATCAAAGCTTCCAGCAATGGAAAAGAAAACCTTAGGGTGTATCTATGCTATGGAATGAATCTCCTTTAATGGGCCTGGTTGCTATAGAGTCAGAGGGGCTGTAGTTTGAGATCATGGGGGCTGCCAAAGAATGAGGGTGCCTCAAACAAACAAATCCCAGCATTGCATAGCACTGAGCCGTGCCCATTAAATAAGAGCAAATGTCCCTCATAGGAACTCCAGGTGCCGCCCCTGAAGCAGCTTCCCTTTTGCTTTGGCTCAGGGCTAAGATGACTATATGATGCAATTCTAATGCGTGCCCTGATTTTGGGAAGGTCCTTTACACAAAAAAGGGTAAGCATTAGATTTGAGTAAATACAGTCGCTTGTCCAGTATAGTCCAGCTCAAAGATCCCATTTCTACTGTTTTTAACCATGGTTCAAAGATCAGGAAATTGATCATCGGCTCATTTGAACATTATGAGTATTGTAAAGCTCTAAAGGACCTCTAAGGTTATCTAGCCCTATGCAGTGCTGCTGTATGGAATCTGCTGCTAGGTAGCGGTGTCAAACTTGTGGTCCTCTAGGTGTTTTGGCCTCCAACTCCCAGAAACCCTAAGCAAAGTGTCCAGTGGCCAGGAATTCTGGGAGTTGAAGCCCAAAACACTGGAGGGCCACAAGTTTGACACTAGTGTGGTAGAGCATCTCTGTTTGGTAGTCATCTGTTTAAAGCCCTTGGAAAACGGGAGTATTGTAGTATTTGCTTGAAAGGACTATGTTGGGGGGAATTGTATTAGCACGCATACCCAGTAGGCATGTGCAAAAAAAAAATATCATTTTTTGATTGTATGTATACTTGGTTAAAGCTGTTTCTAGTCTAGAGGGGACAAGAGTCACGAGTATGCAGCTCTCTCCCTGCAGGAGGCAGTTTTCCAAGGCATATGAAGGGGGCTTCCCATTTTCCAGGGAAGGAAGACGGATCGACTTGGAGGTATCCTGCCCTGGCTTCCTTTAAAAAGCGCTCCCTCCTCTCTTGATTTGGAGGCGGAAAGGAGATTGAAGTATGGGGGCAGAGGCGGGGAAAGGCATTATAAGCGAGGCACCAGTTCTCCTTTCTGCCTCCAGATCAAGAGAGAAGGGAGTGCTTTTTAAAGGAAGCCAGACTGAACGAATGAACAACAACAGGGCAGGATACCTCCAGGTCAATGCCTCTTCCTATCCTAGGAAGCCCCCTTAAAATGCCTTGGAAAACTGCCTCCTGTGGGGAGAAAGATGCAGAAAGATAGCCGAGTAGAAACAGCTTTAACAAAGCATATTTACAATCCAAAACTTTTTTTTGCACATGCCTAATACCCAGCGCACCTGTTATCCTTTCTTTTTCTCATCTCCTAGGCAAGTCCTTGTGATTTTGTCCCAGCTGGAAGGCAACGCCGGCTTCTCCATCACCCACCGCCTGGCCCACCGCAAAGCCACCCAGGCATTTCTAAACGACTGGATGTCAACAAAGGGGACGCACAACCCACCGCTCACCCCGGAGGTGGCCGGACTGCATGGGCCCCGGCCGCTATGACAAACAGCCCCACTGCCTGCCCCTCCGCTCTTCTGCTTCTGCCTTTTCTCCGGACCCCTCTGCCTCGGGCAATGCCCAGGACGCCACTACTGAGCCGTCGGGACGGAGGAGGAGGATGGGCGGGCAGGCGGAGCGCCTCCAGCCAAGCGCCTTGCCTTCCCTCCCGTCCTGTCCCGTCCCGTCCTCTGGGGCCAAGCAGGGAGCTGCTCAGGTTCCCTCTCCCTTGCAGCCCCCCTCCTCTCCCCTCCCTTTCCCCCACAGATGATGCACTTTATCCAGAGCTGCTGTCCGAATAGGAGAACAAGGGAATTTTGCGGCCAGGAGGAGGAGGAGGAGAGGTCCGGGCTCTGGCAAGCAAGGAAAAGAAAGGGCCTTGGCCGCCCTTGGCTCCTGGACCTGGCCCTTCCCACAGCCGCCAAAAACCCCAAGGCTGCAACAATATACCTCTGGCCAACGTGTCTGTCTGTGTGTCTCTGCCTCACCTCACCATTACATGTCCCAGCTGAATGCTGCAGTGGAAGGTGCTGCTGGGGCAAGGTGTATGTTGATATGTTGCCCCCCATCCCCATCCCCTCGCGACTGGTATGACAATTGGCAGGCGGAGGGATGCAGATGGGCAGGACGGGGTGGGAACATTAATTGGTGGGGGGGGGGGTAGCAAAGCGTCATACATTTTGACCGTTCTTGCTGGGCAAGTCACAGGCAAGCCTTAGGGTGCAAGCCATTTTGCAGCAGTCAAGGGGGGAAAAGATGTGTGGGCTGGTCATTTGTTGTTTCCGCCATTGTAATTGTTTTTTTGTCCTCCTTGGCGAGGCAGGTCAAAGCATGAGCCATGAAGGGGACCTGCCACTGTTGACCGCATGGAACTGGGAAACAGCCTTTCTTTGCCTGCCTCCTTCACTTTAGTTCCTGTCTGTGCATCCCTCTAAAACACAGCCACTCTGAGTCGTGCAGAGGAACAAACAGCAACATAAATCAGAGACGTAGGAGCTGCAGGCCATTTTCCCAGCACTATCCTCTGCTTCTCACTGAACACCATTTGCCTGCAGGTCTTTACCTGGGAAGGTCAGCAGGAGGTGTGGAAGGAGATGGGACCGGGAGCATGCGAAGAGGATTAGCCTCTGCTGGGTCCTTTGAAAGGGCTAGGAAGTGTGGTTTCACAGGCGACCCTTGCGCTGGTATGGGCACACTTCCCATGTCCCTTCTGGCCTTTTGCAGCCAGAAGGGAGAAAAGTCAGGACTCAGCGGTGGAGCTGGAAGAGAATGGTTGACCCTCTCTTGGTGCCTTGGCCACTTGGCGATAAGAGGAAAGCTCCAGGTGGCTGCAGGACTGTGTATATGGTTTAATCCAGGCCTCTTCAACCTGTGGATTTCAGCTTCCAGAATTGCTGACCATTGAGCCAGCTGGCCAGGGCTTTTGGGAGTTGGAGGTCTGCATGCTGAAGAGGCCTGGTCCATCAGTGGGGCCCTTTGGGTTCACCACTGCTCAGCTTTGCAGTTCAAACCTCAGCCTCCAACAAAGCAAATGTTCTAAGTAACTGTTTGAACTACAACTCTTGGAACCTTGCAAGGGGGTCCTGCAAAAGTCTGAACGTGGAATGCTCTCAAGAAGGTCTGTGCTGGGGAGTGGGTTGTGAGTTAAGCCAATACGTAGACTGGATCCATACTGCCATATCATCCAGATTATCAAATTAAATGATACAGATTATCTGCTTTGAACTGGATTATATGAATCTTCACTGCCATATAATCCAGTCCAAAGCAGAATTTCATATGGCAGTGTCAATGGGGCCATAGTGGAACATCTTCAACATGGGAGGCCAGTCTCTAGTCTCATCTGAAGCTGCTTAACTTGCTCAAACTTTGCTTTAAACAGCACTGAACTATATAATGTAGGAATGGGCACAGTCCATGTTTTCCCCAGACCCAGAGCAAGGCTGAGCACAATGGGTATTGGTGGCACCAGAACTCAATAACAGGGTATCAGGGACAGGGTTTGTAATCCGCGCCATGAGCTCAGGCACAGGGATATCAGGGATGGCATATTCCTGCCAACTTTGTGGGTTCGGGCACAGGGTTGGAGAAGTGGTGCCTGGGAAACGTATCGTCGATAGGACCTCCCCCACCCCCTAATGTGTGCTCAAGCCATGCATCCACGTAAAGCAGCCTTGGCACTCATATGGTCCATCGAGAAGCTGGCACGTCCGAAGCCCTGCCCACTCCATGGGGTGCCTATTGGCTGCGTAGTGTCCAGTGGGAAGTGGGAAAGCAGAAGGCAGCATTGGTATTTGCACAGTGATTTGAAGCATCAATCTGGGGACTATTCAGGGGAGGTACTATTGGCTTAACCTGCTTCCAGGTTAGAGTTTGGAAAAGTACCCTTTGGCTCCAAAAGCGCAACACAGAAAGGTCCTTTTCTAAAGTTCAGGGCCACCCTTTGCACTTCCATGTCCTAATGTCCGAGATGTTGCCAGGCCCACCACTGGTGTCCCTTGTGATGGAGGCTTCAGCTTCTTTGTAGCTTCAAGCAGATAAGAGGGAAGAAATGAGCCCCAGTTGCAGATTCCTGCTGACAAGGGGATTCTGGGAGGTGTCCTCCATAAAACATGGTTTTCTGACTCCTTGGTATGAAGAGGAACTGTCTTTTCCTCCCTGCTTTCAGCCAGTGTCCCTTCTGAGAAGGACCGCCCCTCTCACGCTCCCGTATTGGGACGAGGGCCTTGTATTTTAATGGCACTGCGGCAGACAATAGTCAACAGGAAAGCCTGGATCCAATCACAGAGGTACAGTAACTGCCCTCTCACCAGCTTCTGCCTTCCATGTGGTTACTCAAAACACAAGGGCCAAGCCAGAAGGAGCAGGCAACCCTACTTTCAAGCCATTTGCACTAATTCCTTCCTGCTGTGACTCCTGGGAAACGTAGTTTACTGGGAGGCTTGTGGCAGGGAACCACGGGTCGGCAGGGTTTGTGTGTCACTTTGGAGGAGCCGTTTCCCCAAAGCATTGACTCCATTTCTGATGTCGGGGAAGCAGGAGAAAAAACAGCAGACATCGGAATCGGCCAATTCCTGCAGCCCTTCATTCCATGGGTTGTGCAGAAAGTTGCTCAAAACTCAAGCGATTGTGTCATGACTGTGCTGCTTGAGCAGCAGCCTATAAGACATTGTGGACTGAAATAAGTTCAACTCTTGTCTTGTCCAAAAGGGCCAACTGCAGCAGTTGATGCTGGTATCAAACCGATGTGTGTGCAATGCAAGCATCCCCTTGGTCTGAGGATGCAGGTGCCGGTCAGTCTTGGTGTGGAGGTGGTGGCATTGGGTCCCTGGAGAAGGCCATGGTCTCCTTGTCCGAGGGCTATACTGGCACTGCTGCAGCTACAGGTCGATGGGGTAGCCATGCCAACCTGTCCCATGCGAATGCAAGCTCCAACGTGTTCGTCCCATGCCATTTCAGCCAGTCATGCAGCAACAGTCATGAAGTTGAGTGTTTCCTCATTTCTGTTTGTACCCATCACCTCCAAACCAGTGTTCCTGGCACTGCCACTCCAGGCCAGGGAGTGGGTGGACTTCTTCCTTCTTTTTTGTATTCATTTTTGATCTGTCCAAAATGTCTCCTGTCTTTTTTCCAACTTTTTTTTTGTTGACTTTCATTTTTTCATGCGGTTCATTCTCTTTCTGTCTCTCCGAGCTGTGAATAATTTTTAACCATGTAAATATTGTCCAGCTCTTAAGGAAAACATAGGATATTTTATCAACTGTAAATCAAATCTGTAATCAAGTCCCTGTATAAATATGAATTATCCCATGGGTGGTTTTCAAACTCAGGTTCCAAAGGACCAAATAATAATAAAAGTTTTGTTTTGTATTTGTTTGCTTTGCTCTGTACATTATTAACACATCTGACCTACAGACGGATGAGCTGATATCCTATACACTGGCCTCGCCAAGCCTTTAGGAGATGTAGTCAAACCATATGAAGGCTGCTTGCTTGCAGAAGGATGCTTTACCTTTTGTTTGTAACTATACACTAGCCTTGTTCTGCTATACAGGGAATTCTTTCAATGGATTGTATACAGACTTTTTTCTATATCTTCTCCGCTTCGCAGTGAATATAGACAAGGGAAAGGAGGAAAACCACAAGCTATGGAAAAAAAGGAACACTCCAAGACTAATGATCGTCCTACTATTTAGTGCAGGTATGGGCAAACCCAATACCTGGAAAAAAAGGAACACTCCAAGACTAATGATCGTCCTACTATTTAGTGCAGGTATGGGCAAACCCAAGCCCGGGGGCCAGATGCACCCCCCTTGGGCTCTTTCTCAGGCCTTCCTCTCTCTCATCACCCTATCCTTCCTTCCTTCCCTCCCTTCCTCCTTCCCTTCCACCCTTTTGTCCTTTCTTCCCTCCCTTTTCTCTTTCATTTTCTTCCCTTCTTTATCCCCTTCCTTCCTTACCTCCCTCTTACTCCTTCCCTCCTTCCTTCTTCCCTTTCTTCCTTATCTCCCTCTTACTCCCTCCCCCTTCCTTATACCCTTTCGCCCTTTCTTCCATTTTCTCTTTTCTTCTCTCTTTCCTTCCTTCCTTACTTCCCTCTTACTCCCTCCCTTCTTCCTTCCCTTCCACCTTTTCATCCTTCCATTTTCTCTTTCCTTCTTTTTCTTTCCTTCTTCCCTTTCTTACTTACCTCCCTCTTACTCCCTCCCTCTTTCCTTCCCTTTCACCCTTTTGTCCTTCCTTCCCTCCCTCCTTCCCCCTCTCCCTGTTTCTCCCTTCCTTCCTTCCTTCCTTCCTTCCTTCCTTCCTTCCTTCCTTCCTTCCTTCCTTCCCATTTGTCTTTCCTTCCTTCTCTCTTTCTGCCCTCCCTCCCTTCCCTTCCACCCTTCCTTCCTTTCCTTTCATCCTTCTCTTCTTCCCTTCCTGATGTCTTTTTTTCCCTTCCTCCTTTCCTCCTGGGAGATGTTTAGCTGGGTGAAAAGAAGGTAGAGAGGGAACATGAGAACCATGTTTCAAGATTTAAAAAGGTGTCCCATTTGGGGTGGGGGGTGGGGACTGACTTTCCACTGCTCTAGAGACCAGGGCACAAGGAAGCAATGGGTTCCAATAGCAGGGAAAGGGATTCGACTGAAAAAATTAAGAAGAACTTCCTAGAAAGTGGCATAGGTTGCCTGGGAGTGTAGTGGAATCTCCTCTGGAGGCTTTTCCTCAGAGGCTGTCTATCGGGAGTGCTTTGATTGTGCCTTCTTGCATGGCAGGGGGTTGGACTGGATGGCCGAAGGTCTCTTCCAAGGATTATACTGTATATCAGGAGTAGGCAATACAGGGTCAAATGGATACACTTTTTCTTCTCCAATCCACCGTCTCATCCTGACCAAGGCCAACCCTTTGGGGATCCAAATGTTTCCCGTCTTTCCTTCACTTTCTGCCTCTGAAAGAGAAGAGGAAGGGGAGAAAAGGGCAGGGAGAGGACTTGGGGAGAACCCACTCCCTCCTGGCCCACCCACCCCACTCCAGCCCACTATGTGGCCCCCAAGTTAGAAAGTTTGCCTATACTTGTTTTAGTGTATAAGGGACACCATTTTACTACGCTGTTGTACATAATAGGATTTGATCATGCATGGAATTTTGTATCCAGGAGTGGTTTTGCAGCCAAATCCATGCTATGTGGTCAATCTCCAATCTTTATATTAAAGCACCATTGAGCTCAAAATAAGCCCAGTAACAATGTGCAGTGAATCACATCTTAAACATGTCTACTCAGATGTAAGTCCCAACAATTTCCTAGGAGCTTGCTCTGAGTACAGGAAAACAACCTAACTCTTGCAACGGGATAGAAAACCATTAATGCAATTCAAGCCTCAGGGCACAAATTGAACATCTTTGTTCAAGAATAGCAGCAAAAATCAGCAATAGTTTGTCCTAGGAGAATGCTCCTATTGTCTTGAGTATTGCTGCGCTATCCAGCACATGAATGATGCATCATAGCTTCATCCGTCCAGCATTGCTTCCTACCGTTCCCTAAACTGGTATCAAAACCAGGACAGTCAATGCTATCCTGAAAGTTGCCATGCCTAAATGTGATGGCCCCTTTAGTACCAATTCGTCCCGTGTTCGAATGAGATGTCAATGTGGCCATATAAGTGTCATGTCTCTGGAGTTAAACATGGGGCCATTTTCTCCTTTGGTGAAAAAGGATGAATGAGAAACATTTGTGCTTCTAGATCAGGCCTGGGCAAACTTGGGCCCTCCAAGTGTTTTGGAATGCAATTCCCACAATTTCTTTTCCACTTAAGCAGATGGGGGGGGGGGGGGYGAGAAAGGGCCTAAGGCTGTTAAGAATTGTGGGAGTTGAAATCCAAAACACCTGGAGGGCCCAAGTTTTCCCATGCCTGCTCTAGATGGTTTGAAGGGCCAAAGAGTCCCTGCCCCAAAGTAAAAGCTACCAACTCTGAGGAATGGCATTAAGACTACACTATTAGTTGCACTGTGTATGTTAATTCTTGGTGTTGTGTGTTTCTGACCTTGAAAGAAGAACCAATCCGAGGTTTTTCTTGGTCAGACTAGATCAGAGGCAGGTTTGACATGGCCCTCTGAGGTTGAGAGAGAGTGACTTGCCCAAGATCAACCAGTTATTTTCTGTGTGGGGATTCAAACTGTACTTTCTAAGCCATGACACCACACTCTCTACTTTGTGCATTTTATGATCCCCAGATCTCGTTTATGGCTCCATGACCATTATCAAGTATAAATCAACTTGTAAATCAGAACAAGACATTTTACATTCAGAGATCCAAACAGGTCCAAGTCAGAAAGGGCCAAATCATAAACATTCTTCAAGTGATGATAGATTTCCTGAGGTGCACAACCTACTTTTGCCAGAAATTCAATGATGACTCTTTCTTTTAGCTTCAGATTCATGGCTCTAATCAGTCAATCGGAAAAAGGAAAGACTCTTATCAGTAGAGTAAGGTTACCTCTATCATATCATACATAGATAATCCAGTAGCTGGGAAAGAAAGAAAAGTTAGAGCAATGGAGGCAATACTTTTTGACCCTCCCACGTACATGTGTGTGTATGGAGATACACTTTAAAACTGCACCAGTTCTAAATTACAAATAAATTCAACATAAGAACAAACCTAAGAAGTAACCCAACTAAGAAGAATAAAGAAAGAAAGAGAAGATAACTAAAATAATAATAATAACACTTGATTTATATTCTGCCCTTCTCACCCTGAAGGGGACTCAGGGGGACCACAGTACATATACACGGCAAACATTCAATGCCGCTTTGTATAGACAATACACAGACAGAACAGAAGGAGGTGGTTTTGTTTCAACTCAGTGTCCAGCTGTTTTTGGTGCTATGGAAATTTGGGCTCGAGTCTAGGGGGTGCTGTTGCTCTATCCTCTATGACGAGCCATCAGGACTTCCTCCTTCCTTTTGGTCGCCCAGCATTTTCCGATCTTTTTTTATGGCATCGTAAAACACCGCCCCCTGCTTTTAGTGGTACCTAATTTGTTTAATTACAGCTAAAGCTGTTTTCGAATTGCTTAGGTAAACAATGAGCTAGGCTGACAGTCGGCAGCTCATGCTGACCCGGGGCTTAGAACTTGTAACCTTTTGGTTGATAGATCTTATAATTGCTGGTGATTTACCAGCTGTGCTAAAAACTTCCAGCCTAAAAGAGGATATAAAGACTTATTAAAGAAGAGATGAACAGTAGGCTTAAACAACATCTCTCCTTAAATAAGCTTTACCCCTTTCTCGAACTCCCTAATGAACATTGTGGAAAATATCAATTAATTTATTTTAAAAGAACAAACCTATAGAACCACTCTTGTTCATAACTAGTAGAGGTTTGCATTTTTTGTTTGCCTCATAATTTGGATCAAATTTGTTAAGTTTTGTACTTATGGGGCAATATCTGATACGTGGGCGTGGCTCATACCAAACGTTTAAGAATTGAAATTTACCCAATTTTTTCGTTTTAGTTTTGTAAATCTTGGAAGGCTCCCAAAGTCGATTTCACATTCAGTGCAAGGAAGCAAAGGCATTACGCCAAAAAGGCTGCCTTAGTGCTTTGCCTTGCCTTTTCTCTAACTTAATGGAGTTTCGACATTAGGAGTGGAAAAAGAGGGAGCTGTGTTTTCTGTGAACAGCATATAACTCTGGGAAATGTAGTTCGAGAAGGGAGGAGCTCTATGCCAGAGAATTCAAAAGGCCCTGCCCTAAACTACATTTCCCAGAATGCATCAGGTATCAGGGAGAGATTTGTCCCTCCCTAACAGCAGCCAGTGAGAGGTCCAATGAATGGTTGAATCTTCAAAGAGGAGGATGGCTGAGACTCCTAGTAAGTCAATCTCTGTGCTGGGCTGGGAGGAAATGACTCAAATGGATGGCCCCCATACTATAGGGGAAGCATATTAATTAGTTTAGAGACTGGATGGCCATCTGACAGAAGAGTTTTGATGGTGCCCTTCTGCCTGGGACAAGGTTGGACTAGATGGCCCTTAGGTTCCAAGCTTCCTTATCAATGAAGACAGCAGATATCTTGCCTCCCCTATGGCATATTTAACAAACTTAGAGGTTCCCATTCATCGAAGGGCTTTCACCCTGGCTCGATGCCACGCTCTCCCATCAGCTGTACTCAAAGGCCGCTACCAGAAGATCCCTTTCCCAGAGAGACTCTGCCCCTGTGACTCGGGTCATGTAGAACCAATAGAACATGTGCTCCTTCAGTGCCCGTTCTACAGGGATATCCGTGCCAGGCTTATCTTACCTCTGTTATACAAGCACCCAGGTCATTCAGGACAATTTTATACATCCCTGCTACTTGCAGATATTAATTCAGCGACAACCTACA